GCCCCCCAGCCCTGCCCGTGACTGCCCCCGCAGCTGTGTCAGGCCAGCCAGACGTGGCCTCTCGGTGGTTCAGGCCTCAGGGTCTGATCAGCATGTCCGAGTCCCAGGATAACGCACCTTGTCGGGAAGTAGTGGGGGCTTCGTGATGGGACCCAGTGAACAGGGCGAAGCTGGAGTGACCGTCGGGTCTGGAGCCATCCAGCTCCTGGGCAATGGTGGGGAGTCAGCCGCGGTGCCCCGGCCCCGCTCCCGGGGAGCCCGGCCCGCCCGCCGCTGTGCACAGCCTGGAGGGCGAACGTCAGCCTCAGGGCGACCGGCTGCCTCGCGGGCTCCCCAAGGCTCGTGGGCCAGCTGGGCCTGTGGACAGGCGGCCAGTGTGGGGGACAGGCTGGCCCTGGGCACGGGAGCCTGAGGCCCGGCCTCAGCCCCTGCTCCGGGTAGAGAGCCTGGTGGCTGGAAGCAGGAGGAGCTCATTCTCCTGAGGTGCTGCAGGGCAAAGCCCAAAGTCAGGGTGCTCGGGTCGGGCTCCCCCCCAGGTCCTGGGAGGCCCTTCCAGGCTGCCATCCCCACTGGCCAGAGGCCTCCTCCGGCCGCCCTCGTGTCCGGCCGGGTCCTGACAGCCTCCTCCTGCACGGGACTTTCTCCCTGCCCGGATGCCCCCGCTTCCTCCAGCCCCTGACTCGTCACCTCTGCCAGACCCCATTTCCAAATAAGGCTGGCCTCTGAGGCCCCGGAGGACAGTGGGCCTGCGGGCTGGCCTGCGGGCTGGCCTGCAGGCTGGCCGTGGCGCCCGGTGTGGGGCTGACAGGCTCTCTGCCCGCAGTGTGCCCCGGGGGGCTGCCTGATGGAGCTCTGCATCCAGCTCAGCATCATCATGCTGGGCAAGCTGCTGATCCAGAACAACCTGTTTGAGATCGGCATCCCGTGAGTGGGGGCCGGGGCCGGGGGCGGGGCCTGGGGGGGGACCTGGGCCCCGGGCTGGGGCAGGGCCCGGGGCCAGGCTGGTGACCGGCATCGAGGGCTAGGGACAGGGGACGATGGGGACCCACCACCCTATGTGGAGGAGGGGCCAGGGTGATGGGGCAACTCCCTGCCCCGGAGGCTGAGAGTGGGTGCCGACCCACGTGTGGCCCGTGGCCCCGCGTGACCTCGATGGGAGACCTGGCGCTTCCTCCCCGCTTGCCTTGGGGCGGCTTCCCGCCCCTCCTCGCCGGACACCGGCCTGCAGCGCCGAGCCGTTCCAGACTGTTTTCCAGACCCCCCCCTGGGCACAGCCGGAGCACCCCTTCCTGTCCTCGGTTTCCCTGCAGCACTAGCAGGCGGTGACGCCTGGCACCTGCCTCTGGCGAAAGGGCCTGGCACCCGGTCGTCAGGCTTCAGAGCACAGCGGCCAGAGGGTCCGGAAGACCATTTGGGGGCCACGCCCTTGACCCCCGAGTCCCCCCTTCTGAAACCCACCGAGGCCCCGTTCTTTCAGGAAAATGAAGAAATTCATCCGCTACCTGAAGCTGAGGCGCCGCAGCCCCAGCGACGGCGTCCAGTACGAGAAGCGGAGGCAGCGCTACGAGCTGGACTACACGCTGGAGCCCTTCGCCGGCCTCACCCCCGAGTACATGGAGATGAGTGAGTGGCTGGCCGCACCCGTGCCGTCCTGCCGGGCTCTGCTGGGCCCAGGGCTCGGAGGGGGGCACTGTCCCCCCGACGCCCCGCCTGCCTCGCTCCCCTCTCCCTGGGCTCCGGCCACACTGGCCCGTCCTGCCCCAGCCTCGGCCTGGCGTGTGTGCCCGCCCGGAGTGCCCTCCCCCGTTGCTGCATGACCCCCTCGCCCCCTCCCCGGACCCAGCTCAGAATGTCCCCCAGAGGGCAGCCCCTCCCCACACATGTTCTTGTCGAAGCCCCTGCACCCAGAGAGGTCCAGCCGCGGGGTGCATGGGGTGCCCGGGGCGCGTGCAGGGAGCGAACGCGCGGGGTGGGAGGCAGAGGCTTGCAGCTGGGGCCGCAGGCCGCCACAGTCAGCTGGATCCCGGCACATCCCTGGCCTGTGTGGGTCAGACCCACACGCCGCTTTCTGCCAGCACGCAGAAGGCAGCCAGGGGCGGCTTCCGGAGGGGCGTCTGGGCGCCGCAGCGTTTCTGTCTCGCACCCTGAGGGCCACCCTGCTCTGTGGGCACGGTCATTGAAATGAGTCGCTCCTGGGGCTCCCGGATGCTTGTGCAGAACTCCGTGCCGTTGACTCAAAGAAAAGAATCTTGAGACTACAAAAGGCCACAGCGTGCCCCTGTGGCGGCCTCTGTGCTCCTGGGATAAGTCCAGGCTGACCCCGAAGCTCCGGGCCCCCGCGACCCAAGGGCCTGCTTCCTCGCCAGCCGGGGTCTCGGGGGGCTTCCCATCTGTGACTCCCAGCAGGGAGACACCAAGAATGCCCATGTGAGGCCAGTGACCCCGGTTCTGAGCCCGCGTGGCGGAGGTCAGGGTTCCCCTTCCCCGACACAGGCGCTGCCTGCCCACCGGGCAGCCCGCCGGGGCCCCACCCTCCGATGCCGCCCGGCACAGGAGCTGGAGGCTGGAAGAAAAGCCCAGCGGGGCTGACCCCCGCCTCCCGGCCTCCCTCCCAGCCAGCAGCCCCAGCCCTCTGCGGAGACCCGCGCCCAGCTCAGCTGCGGCTTCGCCACCTGCAAACCGGGGCCCCGCCCGCGTGGGGCGTGGGGCAGCCAGGGACGGGGCCGTACCGCGAGCCCCACCCGCACGCTCAGTGGCCGCACTCGGCCCGCCCAGCGCCGTGACCGTCCGCTGCCGGCCTTGCTCCCCGCCCAGCTCTGGGCCCCTGGCCCCTGTGGCCGCAGCAGGCCCCCGGGGCTCCTTGACTGGGAAGCTCTCCTGACCCCGGCCAGCCGTGCACCCCCTGCGCCACCCGATGCCAGCGAGCCAGCGTGACGGGAGCCTCGGGAGCAGGAGCGGGCTGAGGCTGTCCGGCCCCCTGAAGGGCGCCTGGGCTCTGCCCTGCGCCTCCGGCTGACCGAGCCCCGCTGAAGGCGAGGGGCGGGCTGGCGCTCGCGCCGTGGGGCCTCTCTCCCGCGGTGGCGACGTTTCAGGCCTAGCTCCGTGGCGAGTGAGTCGTGCCCGTTGCTGAGTGCCAACACCAGGGCCCAGGGCCAACCCTGGGGCCCCCGCAGCCCCCTCCCGGTCGGGGGCCGGCTGAGCCGTGGTGGGAGCGTCCGAGGGCCCCTGTGCACCGGGGAGCGCTGGGGGGGCCCCGTGGGGGCAGCTGACCGGCCCCACTCGCCCACAGTCATCCAGTTCGGCTTCGTCACCCTGTTCGTGGCGTCCTTCCCGCTGGCCCCCCTGTTCGCCCTGCTGAACAACATCATCGAGATCCGCCTGGATGCCAAGAAGTTCATCACCGAGCTGCGGAGGCCGGTGGCGGTCAGAGCCAAGGACATTGGTGAGTGGCCGGCGCCGGGGCAGGGCGCCCAGGGGCCGGGGCCGGGAGCGTGGGGCTGGCACCCCCACAGGGTCGCTAGTGGGTGTATGCTAGGGCAGAGACACGACACCCCAAGTCTCCATGACACCCCAGCCTGCCCGCTTCGTGGCAGAGAGGCGCCCTGGCCTTGGGGAGCACCAGCGGGTGTCTCGGCTCCCGGAGGCCTGGGCAGGACCCCACAGCACAGAGCCAGCACGTGGCCCACGGGAGGCCCCAGGGAGGGACAGCAGGATGGACCTATAGGGCCAGGGCTGGCAGCGGCCCCTGCGCTGCAAGGGGCTTCCTCACCGCGTGGAGGGGCCCGGAGCGGGGCTGGACTTGGAGACGCCCACAGGGGTAACTTTCTGAAGGTCAGGGGAGTCAGAGGGAGCCCCTCGGCCCGGCGAGCACCCACCCCGAGGTGCCTCAGCAGAGGCGGCACCCCTCGAAGGCCGGGGGCACGGGACCGTCGTCAGGGCCCCGGGGCCCCGGGATGCCAGTGATACAGTTCGTACGGCGGCCTAGTGTTGACGTGTGCCGGAACGTCCCAGAAACCTGCTCCTCTCCCTGCGCTGTAGAGCAGGGGCCGCACTGAGCCTGGACAAAGCAAGGAGGTCCCGCCGGGGCTCTGAACGTGTCCACGCGGAGGCCCCGACGTGCTGGGCCCCACGGCCCTGAGGCAGGGCCCTCTGGGCCTCCCGAGGCTGCTGCAGCCACTGCGTGCAATGCCCCCCACCCCCACCCCCGACCCCCGAAGCCAGCCCATCCTGCTCTGTGCCCCGCCACGGCTCGGGGCCCGGCTTGACCAGGGCTCTTGGGCCGCTGCCTCGGCCGCTGGTGCCGTGCTCTCCGACGCCGCCGGCCCGGCCACGTCCCCCCAGCTGCCCCCAGAGCAAGGGCCCCAGCCCTCACACGGTGCCACCTCCCAGGCCAACTGGAAGAAAGCGCCGTTCCCGCTGCCCAGGGCCAGTGACCTGCCCACTGGCCACGGTGCGGCCGAGGCCAGGCTTTGAGGCCAGGAACCTTGGCGCCCCAGACGCTGGGCGGTCGGAGCTGGGCTCAGGCCGGAGGTCAGCCTGGTGCTTTAACCGTCTGTCTCCTTCCCACCTCCTGGTAGGGACCTGGATAGTCAGGGGAGACCCTTCCTTCCCAGGACTTTGTCTGGAATTTAAAAGGTTGGAACCCCCAAAACTGGTGGGGCCGCTCTCACACCACACAGCTGATAGCGGGGCCCAAGGCCACACAGGTGTCCAGCGCCCTGGGCCTGCGCTGGACTCGGCCTGGGGAAGCCAGCGAGCAAGGCCTCGTTTTCTGGGGACCACCAAGCGCTGCCTCAAATCTTAGGGAGCCATTTCCCCCAAGCTCAGTCCTTCCTTTTTCCATTTCACTCTTTCTTTATTTTCTTTTTTTTTTATTTTTATTTTTACAACAGTTTATTTTTACATCATTTTGTACATTTTTTTTTTCCATCTCAAGTGTAATCCCCGCGGGTTTCCCATCACCGAGTCACCCGTGTGCCATCACCACAATCCCGTGCACTTCCCTCCCCCATTCCACTCTTAACACGAGAGGCCACTCTTGCTCACGAGGACAGCAGCGCCGGCTGGATTCTTGGCGTTTGCTGGTCCCTCTCAAGGTCAAGGTGCCCTTGAATGCAGGGCTCTGGTGAGCTCGGCCCCCACCAGGAGAGCCAGGACAGCTGAGTCTGGGTCTGGGTTGGCTTGGGCTGTCCAGGCCTCCAAGGGGCCAGGGGAGGATGTGTGTGTGCATTCTGGTCCCGTTTTCCGGATGGGGAGACTGAGGCTGGGCAGGCTGAGCTGGCACCGAGCGGCCAGCCCTCCCTGCGCCCCTCCCCGAAGACAGGGCTGGCCTGAAAAGCTGGCACGGCAGCCCAGAGGCCTCCAGAGGGCGGGGGGCGGCCGGGGCTCCTGGGCGTGGTGGAGCCCCGTGCCCGGGGCGGGAAGGAGAGAGCGTGGCCGCCCACCGCGGGCTGTGC